CCACACCTTGTTATCTCAGATTCTCCAGCATCTGCAGTTCCTACTATCTCTTAGACAAATTGGTGGAGTGGGCTGATATGTCATGGATGAAATTCAACGTGAGGTGTTACATTTTGGTAGAAAGAACATGGAAAGAAAGGGTGCTACCCTAACAGGTATACAGGACTGAAAACCAGGTTGCAGAGGGGGATTTAATGGACCCTGCAAAAGCGGGGGTAGCTTAACATGGGAGCTGAAATGTTGTTTTCCTAATGACAAGCTTGGGCTGAGAGACTGACCAAGAGATGTGTTAGTGGTGGTTATTTAGCTACTTTTCGAGAAAACATAATAAGCATCAAAGAAAGTATTTGACCACCAATTACCACAAGTAGGGACTGCATAAGCAAAAAAGTGTTGGGTGACCGCCAAGAAGATGAGTAAGTGTGGGCAGGCAGTGGAGGACTCCCCTGTGGCCATTCCCGTCATAGGCATGGATTCTGTTTTGGATACTGTTGGAGGGAATGGCCTTCTAGGGGAAAGCAGTAACAGCAGCCGGATCACCACGACTGGCTCTGTGGTACAGCAGGGAGGGTTGAAGTGTAGGTGAGTGGTAGTGATAGGGTCTCTACAGTCAGGGGTACAAATAAGATCTTTTGTGGCTGCAAGCGAGACTCCAGGCTTGTGTGTTGCCTTCCTAGTGGCAGAGTCAAGGATGTCTTTGAGCAAGCTCAGGACCTTCTGAAGGGGAGGGTGAGCAATCAGAGATTTGTGGTACATACTGGTACTAATGACCTAGGCAGAAAGAGAGATGATGTCCTGCAAAGGAAATTTCGGGATTTAGGTAGGAAATTTAAAAGCAGGATCTCTAGGGTTGTAATCTTGGGATTACTCTCTGTGCCACGCGACAGGAAAATAATACAGTTGAATGCATGGCTAAACAGCTGGTGTAGGAGAAAGAGATTCAGCTATCTGGATCATTGGGATCTCATCCAGGATAGGTAGGACCTGTACAAGAAGGATGGGTTGCACCTGAACTGGAGGGGCACCAATATCCTGGCAGGAGGCTTGTTTGTTCCGCTTGGGAGGGTTTAAGCCAGTGTAGTGGGAGGGTGGTGGTTGGGTGGGAGGGAATCAAGAGACGATAGAGATTAAATCAAGTAAGTCTAATAGGAAGAACAGGCAGGACCAGACTAATGAACATGGGACTGGCAGTGTGAGGTGTGTTTGTTTCAAAGCAAGGAGTATAACAGGTAAGATAGATGAGTTTAGAGCCTGGATCGGTACATGGAACTATGATGTTGTAGCCATTAGAGAAACTCAGTTGACAGAAGGGCAAGACTGGCAGCTCAAGATTTAAATGTTCCAGGGTTTAAATGTTTAAGGCAAAATAGAAAGGGATATAAAAATGGGTAGTGGAGTTGCATCACTGATTACGGAGAATATCACTGCTGCACTAAGAGAGGACATCTTGGAGGGGTCATCCAGCAAGGCCATATGGGTAGAACTCAGGAATAAGAAACGTGCAATCCTATGATGGGGTTATACAGTAGACCTCCCAATTACCAGTGGGGGATAGAGCAACAGATATGTAAACAGATCGCAGAAAAATGTAAAAACAACAGGGTGATTTTAACTCCCCTAATATTGACCGGAACTCCCTTAGAGCCGGGACTTGGATGGGGCAGGACTTGCTCGGTGCATCCAAGAGGGATTCTGGACCTTATACTGGGGAATGAGCCTTGCCAGGTTATGAAAGTTTCATTGGGGAAGCTTTTCTAGGAACAGTGGTCATAAGGTAAGTTGGATACAAAATTAGTTTGGTCATTGAAGACAGAGGGTAGTTGTGGAGGGGCATTTCTCTGACTGGAAGTCCATGACCAGTGCCATCCACAAGGATCAGTGCTGGGACTTCTGTTGTAATATATATCAATAACTTGGTTGAAAATGTAGGTGGTCTGTTGAGTAAGTTTGCAGATGACTAGAAATTTGGTGAAATTGTGGATAGTGAGGAAGGTTGTCAAAGTTTACAGCAGGATATGGATCAGTTGGAAAGTTGAGTGGAGAAATGGCAGATGGAGTTTAGTCCAGACAAGTGTGAGGTGATGCACTTTGGGGGTACATATCCAAGAGGATATACCCTTCACTGCATTGAGATACAGATGGATCTTGGGGTGCAAGGCTATAGCTCCCTGGATGTGGCAACACAAGTGGATAAGGTGGTAAAGAAGATGTACGACATGCTTGCCCTCATCTGTTGGGGCATTGAGTATAAAAGATGGCAAATCATGTTGCAGCCATTTAACAGTTTAGTTAGGCCACTGGAGTATTGTGTGCAGTTCTGGTCACTACACTGTAGGAAGAATTTGGAGGCCTTGAAGAGTGTGCAAAAGAGGTTTACCAGGACGCTGCCTAGATTGGAATGTATTAACTAGAAGGAGAGGTTGGATAAACCTGGATTGTTTTTGCTAGGGTGTCGAAGTCTGAGGGGCAACCTGATGGACGTATATAAAATTATGAGAGTCATCAATAGCGTAGATAGTCAGAGTCTCTTTCCCAGGGTGAAAATGTCAAATGGGAGGGGGCATGATTTAAGGTGAGAGGGTAAATATTTAATGGGGATGTGTAAAGAATGTTTTTTACACAGACAGTGGTTGCTACCTGGAACATGCTGCCAGGGGAGGTGGTAGAATAGAATAGAATCCCTACAGTGTGGAAACAGGCCCTTCGGCCCAACAAGTCCACACTGACCCTCAGTGCATCCCACCCAGACCCATCCCCCATAACCCATCTAAGCTACACATCCCTGAACACTACGGGCAATTTAGCATGGCCAATCCACCTAACCTGCACATCTTTGGACTATGGGAGGAAACCCACGCAGACACGGGGAGAATGTACAAACTCCACACAGACACCCGAGGCTGGAATTGAACCTGGGCCCCTGGTGCTGTGAGGCAGCAGTGCTAACCACTGTGCCACCGTGCCACCCCTACAATAGCTCAATTGCACAATTTGTTCTTGCTTTTCCATTTAACATTGTCCTCTCAGACACTAAATGGAGTTTCATAGATTTCACAGAATCCCTACAGTGTGGAAACAGGCCCTTTGGCCCAACAAATCCACACCAACCCTTGGAGCACCCACCAAAACCACATATCCCTGAACACTATGGGCAATTTAGCATGGCCAATCCACCTAACCTGCACATCCTTGGACTGTGGGAGGAAACCCTTACAGACACGGGGAGCATGTGCAAACTCCACACAGACAGTTGCCCAAGGGTGGAATTGAACCCAGGTCCCTGGCACTGTGAGGCAACAATACTAACCACTGTGCCACCGTGCCGATACAATAGCAGCATTTAAGAGGCATTTAGACTGATACATGAACAGTTAGGGAATAAAGGGATATGGACCATGTACAGTCAGATGGGTTTACTTTAGAATGGCATCATGGTCAGCACAGCCGAGGTGGGCTGAAGAGTCTGTTTCTGTGCTGTACTATTCTATATTCTAAGTTCTAAGAAGGAGGTAATAAGCTTTGTCTGGCTCTTGAACTATTCTGGGGGAGGTATTCATTCATACAGATCACAGATTATGTTCTTCAGAACAAAGAGCCATGGGTTATTTTAGTGGAATTTGATGTTGCAACCATTTACACTAAGAACTGAGCAAGTTGCAAGCAAAAGCAGAACAATACAATATCCTGACTGACATGGTTTTTGAATGTACAGAATCCTGGCTGCATTGATTTGTATTGACTGCATTTACTCTGGCTGTAGTGTTTGTATGAACAGGGAAAGCAACGGGCCAGAGTGATAGAGAGAAAAAAAACTGGGAGAGAGACAGAAAGAGAGAGAGAGAGAGAAAGAAATGTGGAGGTGGTAAGATAGAAGAGAAAACCTGGGGAGAGGGTGGGAGAGAAGGAGAGAGAAACTGGGAAGAGAGAGAGACTAAGGGGTGAGAGAAAAAAAAAACTGGGGGAAGAGAGAGACAAATATACAGAAGAGGGAGAAGTTCCTGTCAGTGTGTGCTGCTCCATTGTAGAAAGTGTTTTATTCTGGGGGTCTTCCTGAGGTATTTCTCCTTAAGGCTGGGCTTCACTGGAAGGCTGTAGGCAGCAGTTGTACAGAGTGTTGATTACATTTGGCTTTGGGTTCATTTGTATTTTGCAATTTGTCTATTATAAAAATGTAGAACATTGAGGAATGATTTCTATTGATTTTTGAATCGATATTGAGTTTCTCATTGTGTTCAACATGAGGAAACATCGCAATAAATTTTTTCTAATAAATCACTACAGTGCAGAAAGAGGCCATTCAGTCTGCACCAACCCTCTGAAAAGTATCCTGCCCAAACACCATATTTTCCATGGCTAATCCATTTAGCCTGCACTCTATGGCCAATCCACCCTAACCTGCACATCTTTGTTGCAGAAGGAAACCAGAGCACCCGGAGGAAACCCAAGCAGACACAGGGAGAATGTGCAAACTCCACACAGTCACCTGAGGCTGGGATCAAACCTGCGTCCCTGATGCTGTGAGACAGCAGTGCTGACCACAGAGCCACCGTGCTTTACACCTCAAGAGCTCTTATCCTTCATATTTTGAGTCTTTTCTGTTATTTCATTGATGAATATATATTATTCACTTCAATATAAAACAGGAAGGCTAATATTTTTGGTGCGGGGGTGTGTTCTGTGATATTGAGACATCCATCTGAGATAATGAGAATAAAATCCACCATGTCACATGATCAAATCTCATGTGATTACCTGCCACGAGTATGTAATGTGATCGAGTGCTACATGGTCAAATGCCACTTGGACAAATCTCCAAGAATTTGTCAAACCAGAGTTGGAAATGTTAACCTGGAAATGAAGCTTTCTCAATGGTGTCAGTGAGGCTGTGACTTTGGTTAACATGATATAAATTCTGCCTTTGCCTGGAGCCGTCAACCATATCTATGCTGTGCAGTTATATTTCTCACTCACACCCCAAAGAGACACTCAGGAAGAAGAAATGGAAAGGTCTTTTGTTGCATTTAATTTGGGGTAAAAACTCATAGAAATTAAAAATGTACTGGATAATGAGACAGGTTGAGTGTGGTGAAGCACACACTAGTCAATGCACACTGGGGTGCAGATGTATTCAGTGCGAACAACGGGATTGAGTGGATCTTGCCAGTGACATGCAACGGCTTCTCACTCACGGAGTGTCATCAAGAAAGGTTGTTGTTGTTGTAAAGATTTTACTGTTTGCTGCTCCTGGTGTTTATTAGCAATTGCAATGCTCACACTCTGGAAAAAGAAAACAAAATCAGAATTTAGAAAGGAGGCCAGGCATTAACTTGCACAGAACTTCAATTTGAAATTAAAATGACTGAGAATTAAATAAAAATTGCCAGCACAAAAGTAGAAACAGACCATTCAACCCATCAAGTCCACGTTGGTACTCAGGCCCCACATGAGCCTTAAAATATTGAATATTTTCAAGAAGGAGTTAGATATAGTTCTTGGGGCTAAAGAGATCAAAGGGCATGGGGAGAAAGTGGGAGCAAGGTAGTGAGTTGATGATCACGTTGAACAGCGGAGAAAGCTTGAAGGGCCAAATGGCCTCCCCCTTCTCTTATTTTCTATGTCTCCACCTCTTTTCCTCTCAGACAATCAGCATATCATTTGCATTTTCAACTGCACCTTTCACATCCTCAAGATCCTCCAAGTGACATAATTTTGAACTGTGTAGGAGCAATTTACCGCAGATGCTGGAATCTGTACTGAAAACAACAAATGCTGGAGATCACAGCAGGTCAGACAGCATCCATGGAGACAGAACAAGCCAATGTTGCATCAGAGCTGATGAAGAGACATCTAGACTCAAAACGTTACCTTGTTCTCTCTCCATGGATGCTGTCTGACCGGCTGTGATCTCCAAAATTTGTTGTTTTCAGTTCATTTTGAACTGTGGTCACTTTGGAATGAAAGTTGTTGCCATAAATACCAATGAGAAAAATGATCATGATCTGCCTTTGGATGATTGTTAGATGGACTAATGTTGGCTAGGAGACTGAGAGGTAGCCCCCTGCCCTTCTTGGTTTAATGGATCATCCAAGGACTGGAAATCAGACAGCACTGCACCCCTTCAGTACTGCAAGGAGGGTCACTATGGGGGTTTTGTTCCATGTCTCTGGGGTTGAATTTGAACTCACAAAAATCTGACTCAAATATTGGACAGCCATGACTGAATTGTAACTGACGCTCAATAATGGATAGACACTGACTGCTTTTGTGAGAATTGACATGAATGAAATGCAAAGCTCCCAGCTCTACAATATCCATTGAACAATCCCAGGATAGTACAACACAGATTATAGAGTATATTAACTCCAGAGTAATGTTCCCTCTTGATGTCCTACCATCACAGTCAATTCAATTCACTCTACATGCCAAAAAATGGCTGAAGGCATGGGATAGAGCAAAGGTTATGAGCCCTGACAACATCTCAGCTGGCTTGCTTCAAATGCTTCATCAAAGTCATATCGACTATCAAGCCAGGGGATCAACCTGGGGCTCAATGAAGAATGCAGGTGCAGCAGTAGCAGATAAACCTAAAAAATGAGGTGTCAGTCTGGTGAAACTACCCAACAGGACTACAGATGTGCCAAACAGCAGAAGCAACAAGTGATAGACAGAGCTAAGCGATCCTACAACCAGCAGATCAAATCTAAGCTCTGCAGTCCTGTCGCACCCAGTTGTGAATTGTGGGAACAATTAAATAACTCATTTGAGGAGAAGACTCCACAAATATCCCCATCTTCAATGATGGAAGACCCCAGAAAACAAGTGCAAAAGATAAAGCTGAATCGTTTGCAATAATCTTTAACCAGAAGTGCCAAGTGGTTGATCTATCTCTGACTCCTTCAGTGGTCCCTAGTATCACAGATAGACTGTCTGTGTGGAGTTTGCACATTCTCCCCATCTGCGTGGGTTTCCTCCAGGTGCTCTGGTTTCCTCCCACAGTCCAAAGATGTTCACGCTAGGTGGATTGGCCATGCTAAATTGTTCATAGTGTTCAGGAAGGTGTAGATTAGGTGGGTTATAGGGGGATGGGTCTGGGTGGGATGCTTTGAGGGCTTGTGTGGGCTTGTTGGGCCAAAGGACATGTTTCCACACTGTAAGGATTCTACGATCTATGATTTTCTATGATACCAATCTTCAGCCAATTCAATTCACTCTACATGATATCAAAGAATGGTTGGAGACACCGGATATTGAAAGGCTGTGAGCCTCAGCAACAGTACTGGAGACTTGTGTTCCAGAACATGCCACTCACCTAGTCAAGCTGTTCCAGTACAGCTACAACACTGGCATCTACCTGAACAAGGCAACTTGAAGAAATATTTTTCACCCAGAAGGGTGGTGGGAATGTAGAACTCACTGCCTGTAAGGGTGGTAGCTGCAGATAGTCTCGTAACATTTTAGTAATATTTAGATCAGCATTTGAAATGCTAGAGCAAACAAGGCTACACACCAAGTGCTGGCAAATGAAATTGGAATAGATGCCTGGCATAGTCGCAATGGGCCAAAGGCCCTTTCTCCATGCTGGAAAACTCTATGAGTCTATGACTAAAAGAGTAAACTCTAGGTGTGAGGTGAGACTTACCGCACTTAACATCAAGGAGCCTAAGAAAGGCTGCTGTCAAAGAGAAGCAGTGGGACAACTCTCTGCTGGTTGGAGTCATATGGAGCACAAAGGAAAATAGTTTTGGTTATTGGAAATGCAGCCTTTTCAGGCCCATGGCATCACTGCAGACATCTGTCAGTGTAAAGTCCTGGAATATTTTCAACACTTTTAAAATTAATTTAGGAGATGAGGGCCTCGCTGGCTGGGCCAGCAGTTATTGCCCATCCCTAGTTGCCCTTGAGAAGGTGATGGTGAGCTGCCTTCTTGAACTGCTGCAGTCCACCTGCTGTGGGTTGACCCATGTTGCCATTATGGAGGACATTCCATGATTTTGACACAGTAACATCGAACGAAGGGCGATATATGTCCAAGTCAGGATGGTGAGTCACTTGGCAGAGAAGTTGAGGTGATGGTGTTCCTATATATCGACTGCCCTTGCCCTTCTAGATGGAAGTGGTCATGGGTGAGAAGGTGCTGTCTAAGTGTTGGTGAATTTCTGCAGTGTATCCTGTAGATAATACACACTGCTGCTATTGAATGTTGGTAGTGGAGGGAATGGATGCTGCTGGATGTGGTGCCAATCAAGGATCCGGTGCCACTCAATCCCGCTGTTCGCACAGAATCCATCTGCTCTCCAGTGTGCATTGACTTGTGTGTTCCGGATGGTGTCAAGCTTCTTGAGCATTCTTGGAGCTACACCTATCCAGGAAAATGGCATGTATTCCATTACACTCCTAATTTACACCTTGTAGATGTGGACAGGCTTTGGGGAGTCAGGAAGTGAGTTACGAGTATTCCTAGTCTCTGATGCACTCTTGTAGCCACTGTATTTAATGATTAAAAACACGAAGGTGAACTTAGCACACCCACATTTGGATCCAGGTCCGAGTGTGGAGATATATTGGTGTCAGCTTGAGGGATTGGTCATTTCATACAGAGACAAGGAGAAACTCCTGACTCAAAACTGGGGTAGGCCAATGGCCACCTTTCATTCCACAGTGGGTGATGCCAGCACTATACACAGTGATATTACCACATTTGGAGATTCCACATTGTTATGACAGGGAGGGGAAGAAAATGTGTGAATCAAACCAGTTGCCTGTGCACCTTCACATCCAGGCTCCCCTAGATGGGGGAAGGAATGAGCAGAGACTCTGCTGCTACTGCTGCTGTACTCAGGTACAGGGACCACAGATCACACTGTCAGAAATAATGGCATCCATTAGCAAACAGTGGTTAAACCTGCTGAAACTGCATTGTCCAATATAAAATCTGACCAATGACCACTGAACTCAAAGGCTTGTGCATCTTTGTGATTCTCTACCCCAGGGGAGTGTGGATACTCAATCTTTGAGATTTTCCAAGACAGAAGTCAATACTATTTTGGGCACTACAGAAATTCAGAGTTACAGGGATAGTGTGGGCAAGTGATATTGAACTGTGATGTCAGACATGACCTTATTGAATGGCAGGGCAGGCTTGAGGGGGCTGAATGGTCTACTCCAACTCCCACTTCCTAAATTTGCTTCTGGGGGTGTAGTTTTGTCTACATCAAGACCATTTTTAGGGAGTGACTACGCCTTAGTCTCACTGGATGGTTCATGCCATCTCAAGATGAAAAGCATCAAAGCAGTCATGTGGTTTAACTCACCAGAACACAATGCTTCATCCTGATAAGATGTGTTTCGCAAAAGCTGCAAAAATAAAACCAGACGATTACTGCCATTCAATGAACAAGATCTGTGTAAGCAGTGTGTACTGGTAAACTAGAACATAGGCATGTTGCAGTGAGCTCTACATTGTTCCTGGTTTTTAACCTCTCCATCATCTATCTCTCATTAACTACAATTCCATTTGGGTATTATGACAAATAGTCTTTTAACTTTGTCAAAATATAAACCATGTACACCTGGGTTCTACAAAATAATTCAGGTCTTTAAACGTTAAATGTCAGAGGTAGGTTCTTTACATAGAGGGTGGCGGGCGTGTGGAACGCACTGCCGGCAGTGGTAGTGAAGTCAGATACTTTAGAGTCTTTTAAGCAACTCTTGGATAGGCACATGTAGTTGGAGTGAGGGACTGCGTGAGAGTTGGAGTGAGGGACAGAATGTGTGAATTGGAGTGAGTTGTGTGTCTCCATGAGTTTTCACACTGAGATTAGGGAGATGGTTTTCATCCTGATCTCACCTTCATAATTGACACATCCATTTGAGTCCTCGTGACCCGCCAGCAGCTGCTCTACCTCACTTTCTGACATCTTCTCACCTACCGGATAATGGAATCATTAGATCATAACACAGGAGATCAGCTCAGTCCAGTGATGAACCTTTCTACTGCTTATTCCAGTAATAATACAGCCATGATTATTTTTTCAGGTTTAAAAGCATTTAACTGTCCCACACCATGGCTAAACTCAATTTAAAGTAACATTATATATAATCTGGAATCTAATCGAGGGTTGGGAGTGTTTAATATATAGAATAGCAGATACACGGGGGCGACTTACAGACTGGAATCTAATTGATGGGTTCGGGGTGGGGTGCAGGTGGTGGTTTTTATATAGAATAGCAGATATCTGGGAGTGAGTTACAGGCTGGAATCTAATTAACAGCTTCTGTGGAGTTTATAGAACAACAGATACCCAGGAGCGAGTATTCCAGACTGGAATCTGATTGAGGGGTTTGAGATATGTAAAAATAAAATTCCCTTATCTCAGAGATCACCCCAATGTTCTGTCATCTGAGAGTGATCCAGTAGATTGGAATGCTGATCATTAATAGGCTCAATGATCTGGGAGTGATCCATTGGCCAGAATGCTGATCACTGATAGGCTTGATGATCTGGGAGTGATCATATTTCTGATGGATGGAGAAAATCTTGCTAACAGGCCCCACAGGAAGAGGTGCTGGGGATCAGTTTGATCTGCCTCAGAATCAACAGGCGAGCATTTGATCATTGGCACTGGATTTGAGATTTGGTGCAGTACAGATACCCCCATGATGGCCTAACAGAGATTGGGATGTGCTCAGGTTTAGAGTGAATACGGAGGCTGGAGGGAGGAGAACTGGAATAGCCTGGTTTAGACGTGACAAAGACACAGCTGAGGGTTTCAGCAGGAGCTCAGCTGAGATGGAGGTAGAGTTGGTGGTTGTTAGTGAATTGTCCTGATGATGACAGAAGCTGCATACCGGTTTCATCCAGGTACCAACTCGAGCATTCAGGCCGAGGTCACACTGGGTATAGCTAGAGAACGAAAGATCTTTCAGTTATGGTAACTTGGCAGAAAAACTGCAAGGTTAGGGCAAGACCATGTCTAACTTCAAACAAAAACAGAAATTGGCAGCATCTATGGAGAGAAATCAGAATTAACGTTTTGGGTCCAGTGGCCCTTCTTCAGAACTGGGTCTAACTTGCCTGGTGCTCTTTTTGGGAAGAATTCTGTGCCAATGAGTCTCAATTCCAGCCTATTCCATACTGCAGCAATGGTCTGAGACTGGTAACCAACGGAAGGCTCCTTGTTTGAAGGGACTGATCCTATTGTTGCTTCAGCAAAGTGAAAGCGATGGTGAGGCATCTGAGGCCCAGCTTCTGCTGTTTGCATGATGGCCAAAAGCTGGACTCACAGCAAATAATTTCCATTTGATTGTTGAAGATAATTCTGCTGCTCCCTCCCAATGTAAAACCATTCCAGGGACAGCTCCATATCACTGTCCAACTGCCATTCCGAGCATCTGTTCTATGGGAAAATGTCTCTTGTAACCTCGGAGATTATCCTTCAATTCTCTGCTGGTATCTGACTATGGGTTTGGAGAATTATACACAAGCCTGTTCTCCAATATATTGCTCTTGATTAGAGATAAGTGAAAAACCACATGCCTGCACTGACCTCAGGACCCATTGCAAGAGTAGTTCCCTGCCTGAGAATTGGGAAAATGGTACAAGGTAAAGTGCCACGTAACACTGGTGGTGACAAACTGCTGAGTTTCCAGCCTTTCAGAGGGTATTTCCTCCTCATTTCAGGTACTGGGACATTTACAAGCATCAGAAGTTTGTTAAGAAGATTTGTATGGTCTGTGGTTTATTGAACAGAAGTAAACAGCTCCCATGAAAGAGAACAGCAATGCAGCAAGAGTAAGAAGCTGGGGAGAGTCACATTTAGGGAAAAGCGTAGAAATGTAAGACCAATGATAATTTAACATCAATCTCCAAACCCACCAGGTGCGACAGAAATACCTTTCACATACCTCCCCCCCTAGACTGAAGACATACAACTCACCCAGTGTTGCTAGCACGTGACGGAGCTCAGCTCCCATGACAGTGCCATTTCCTTCCTTGTCAAAGACTTTCAAACCTTCTACAAAGTCCTCATATGTGCCTTGGTCCTTGTTCCTGGTGATGTGCTGCAGCATGGGGAGGAAGGTCTCAAAGTCCAGCATCTTCTGGTTCATCTCTGCCAGGGACAAGCAGACTGTGACTCAGACTCACAGGATCCTTCAGAATGTGTCTCTGAAGGGAGTGAGTCTCCCTTCAAGGGAACTCCTCATGGCGTAAAACAAAATGTTTAAAAAAATTAAAGGCTCAATTTTACTGGCTCGGAACCTCAGGAAGTGAACTGAATACAGATTAAAGCCCAGTTAATGGATCTTAATGAAGATATGTACATGCCTTCTTTCAGGGAGATAGGAAGTTCATTCAGATGCACAATCAAGTTTGTCTTTCATTGTATATGTTTCTACATGTATATATATGTCAATGTATTTTGTGTGCGTGTCTGTTTGTATAAATGTATGTGTAGGTGTGTGTATGTGTATGTGTGTACATGTTGTATTTTGTGCTGACGTATTCTAAGTTTCTTTCTTATCCCATTGCTCTATGGCCCCATGGACTGTCACTCCAGTGTCTTGGAGCCACCTTCGCTGATGTATGTTATAATGACGCAGGTTGACTCATGCCTATAGAATGAAGTAGCCCCAGTCCCTGATACTCACCTTCTGGTTTGGGTTTGCCAAGTACTTTCATAACTTCAGCATTAGTAGGGTTCTGTCCTAAGGCACGCAAGACATCCCCGCACTGTGCGTAGGTAATCTTCATTTCACAGGTGGGAGTCCTGTCAAAAAGGGCAAAAGCCTCCTTGAACTCTGAAATTAGAGACACAGTGACGTGATTATTACTCTCCACACCTGAGGAACCTAACAGAAAGTGGACATAACTGAATGCAACCGTACACAACCAGTTGGCTGCTGACAACACTGGCTTCAGTTTGACAGCACTATTGGTTAAATAAACTACCTGTACCACAAATTGAACCTAAGCCAGTATGTCCAGTTCAAAAGAAGAGTCACTGGACCTGAAATATTAAATCAGTTTCTCTCTTCACAGATGCTGCCAGACCTGCTGAGTTTCTCCAGCATTCTCTTGTGCTTGTTTCAGATTTCCAGCATCCATAGAGTTTTGCTTTTACATTTTACCAGGAACTGTTTGCTCTCCTTTTCCCTTAACCCCTCTTCCCTGCAGCTTTCCCCCAAGTAACGATCTAATGTATTGCTAAATTTGCAAAAGTACCATTTTAAGGGAAAACCACTATTTATACTGAATGAGAGGAGGGTGTTGCTAATCAACATTCTGTTTGCATTCTCCATGACGATGCCTCTACCTGTCAAAGTCCACTTTGCTAACCAATCAGCACCCTCCTCTCTTCCAGTCTAAATGCTGGTGTTTCCCTTGAATTGGTGCTCTTGTGAATGATGAGTGCAAGACAAAAGCTTCAAAAAATTTGTCTTTTCTCAGTAATATCCAAGTATTGTCTGACCCCATGAGTGTTTTTTTAAAATATTGACATGGTCCCTACTTCAATTATAAACTGTGGTCATTCATTCCACAATCTCACAACCCAATGTGGAAAATACTTTCTCCTGTTCATTGTCTAATCCTCGTAGTACTTAATCCTTCATCTGAGTCCTCTTGCTCCGCGAACACTATTTTTATTTACCTGAATCCTTTCATCATTTTAAACAGCCCTGTCAAAATACCCTGTAATTTCCTATGGCTTAAGGAATACATACAACATTTTTCAAGTCTTTGTGTTTGTATTCCTTTATCGCAGGCAGCATCTCAGTAAGTCAATAAAGTACCCTCCCATTTCTGTTACCTCAATCCCCTCCCTACTCTGTGGAGTCTTCAACAGTGGTCCCAGCAAGATTTTATAAAGATTTTCTATCATGTCCCCACTTTAATATATTCACATTTTTATGATATTGAGCCCTAAAGCCTGATGACAAGCAAGTCATGGGCTATTCACCTTCCTCTGTGTTTGTGTTTGGGTGGTAATAATACTTTCTCGCTTTCATTTCTTTGAGCTGCTTTTCACTGGCCTTGTTGTGTTCTCAGGCTACATCTTACAGTTGCCCTGTCAGGGGCAGCAGAGAAGCCTATGCTCCGGTTTCCATTGCTGTAGCCCATTCTCTTGGCTCAGTCAGCCACTTTGAGAAGACTGACAGCACAATCAGCTGACCCCAGCAATGGAAGAGTTGATAGTGTTTGCTTTAGAATAGTGAAAACTCACCTTCAATCTGATCCGAACTGAAATCAATCTGAAACAGAAACAAAGCCAGCTTTATTAAAGAGCAAACATTTATGAGGTATTATATCTCACACTGTGCCATCCTGCATGTTACATATCATATCAGACAGGTGTCAGGCTGAGGAGTAAGTCAAATCCTGGCCTCTATTCTCTATGTCAGTCAACATGACCCTCAGACCCTCATGACTCCCTTTCATCTCCCTCTTCTCACTCCACCAACTTAATCAAAACCTGCACCCACATCAACGAATTCACAGGAGCTGTGAGAGTTTTATTTACATTGATACACAGGACGTGGGTGTTGCTGGCTGGCCCAGCAGTTATTGTCTGTTGCTAATTGCTCGGAGAAGGTGGTGGTGAGCTGCCTTCTTACACTGCTGCTGACCATGTGCTGTAGGGAAGCTCACAGCTTGTTGGGACAGTACAGAGGAAGCTATGTGATGACCTGTATACAGGTGTGCTGTCTTGTTGAGCTCAATAAGTTAAATTAATAAATTTCCCACAAGGTAAGCTGCTCCAATATTCCTGGTCCGTAGTCATGAGCAGCTCCAGTATGCTCACTCTTCAACATCTCTGCCGTTGACACATTCCACCTCGAATGGAGTCAACAATCTGCTGATTAGTTTCAGAGACCAAGCTACAGGAAATGAGAAGTGTGCAGAAATTAGAAGAAGGTAGTTTTCTTTCATTAACACCAGAGACTGTAAACATGAACTTGCTCCATAAGTAATGCAGGTATCCTGAGTACATCAGCACAGAGTGTAGAAACTGCCGACTTGGTCACTGCTTCACAACATGAGCTGAGCTGATCAAAAATTCACACAGGTGATGTCTCTCTACACCCTGGAGCTTAAGACCTTAAGAACTCTGACACTGACTCTTCCAACATTGTATCTGTGGAATGGCACCATTAGCAGCTCAGTTACTAGCTGACAGTTCTGTGTCTGTCACAAACGTCCCACTGCTACACAGAGAAGGTGCACTTGCCTGTCGCTCACTGTAATAAAGCTGTCACTGAAACCAAACTGCAGAGACATTATACCACCAGCAAAATGCATAATTTTACTGCTATAAATGCAACATACAACAGACTCCAGCCTAGAACTCATCGTATCTATTATTGTATACATAAACCGTCCGAATCCCTCAATTCTTTTCCAGTAACTCACTCCCAATTGTTGTTATACGAACAACTGTTAGCAATGTCACAATACTTCTTGAAATGTTGACTTATGAACTACATACATTCCCCTCACTCAGTCAGAACAGTGAACCATATCGTTCATTCACAGCACAGAGCTGGTATACCATCAGTATGCAAACAAACCAGCCGACTGTAACACCCAAACACAAAGCTGCTCCACATCACCAATCACGTCGCTAATCACCAATCCCAAAGTGCTGCATTACTCACACGTGCCACCAATAATTTGGCCCAAACTGCAACAGCCAACCTCATTGTGAATTCATAGTATCCAGGCATGTAATTTGAGGGCGGCACAGTTGGTTAGTGGTTAGCACTGCTACCTCACAGCACCAGGGACCTGGGTTCGATTCCACCCTCAGGCAACTGTCTGTGTGGAGTTTGCACATTCTCCCTCTGTCTGTGTGGGTTTCCTCCGGGTGCTCCGGTTTCCTCCCACAGTCCAAAGATGGGCAGGTTAGGTGGATTGGCCATGCTAAATTGCCCGTAGTGTTCAGGGATGTGTAGATAACGTGGGTTATAGGGGTATGGGTCTGGGTGGGATGCTCTGTGGGTCCGTGTGGCCTTGTTGGGCCAAAGGGCCTGTTTCCACACTGTAGGGATTCTATGATTCTATAATCCAGCTAATCACGATGTTTGTTGCTGCACTTTTTCAGATTCAGGTCATTCCTCAATCTCACTGAAGTTATCATTGTTCAATGTGTCATCAGCATGAGAGTAATTACCTCTTCAATCTCCTGATTCTCTCTCCTCCATACAATCAGAATGGTTACAGCATAAAAAGAACCATCCAGCCCACTGAACACTCGTCAACTCTATAAGATGTATTGAGCTAGTCCCATTCCCTCACCCTTTGCCTGCAGTCTGTTTACATCTTTGCTGAAGTGCAGTGCGTCAGAATGGGATAAATTGTCCAGTTAAGGTTGAATCACTATTTTGTATAGATTCCCCCACAGCTTCCATGTATTCCTTTATTTATAAGGCCCAGAAACCCATTTGCTTTATGAACCCCTCTCTCAACCTTTCTTCAGCCAGAAGTGCCAAGTGAATGATTCATCTCAGCCTCCTCCAGAGTTCCTCAGCATCATAGATGACAGTTTTCAACCAATTTCAAGTGATATCAAGAAATGTTTGAAGGCAATGGATACTGCAAGGCCCTGACAACATTCTGGCAATAAGTATTGAAGATTTGTGCTCCAGGACTTGCTGCTCCACTAGCCAAGCTCCTTCAGTGCAGTTACAACACTGGCATCTATCCAACAATGTGGAAAATTGCCCAGGTATATCCTGTATATAAAAAGCAGGACAAATCCAACCCAGCCAATTACCATCCCATCAGTTTACTCTTGATCATCAGCAAAGTGATGGAAGGGACCACTGACAGCGCTATCAAGCAGCACCTGCTCAGCAGTAACCTATTGACTGATGCTCAGTTTGGGTTCTGCCAGAGTCCCTCAGCTCCTGACTTCATTACAGCCTTGGTTCAAACACGGACAAAAGAGGGAACTCCCGGGGTAAGGTGAGAAGTGATAGCCTTTGACATCAAGGCTGCATTCAACCAAGCATGGCATGAAGGAGCCCTAGCAAAACTGGACAGTGCCTTCCAAACCTGTGAACTCTGTCATTGAGAAGAACGAGGCCAGCAGGTACATGGGAGCACCACCACCTGCAAGCTCCTCTTATACTCACAATGTTAACTCAATTCTCTATCCACAGACACTGCCAGACCTGCTGAGATTCTCCAGTATTCTCTGTGATTGCACAGGAGAGGGTGCAGAGGAGATTGACCAGGATGTTGCTGTGCTGGAGACTTTCAATCTTGAAGAGAGAATGGACAGACTTGGGCTTGTTTTCCTCAGAGCAGAGGAGATTCAGAGGCGACATGATTGAGATATATAAAATTATAAGGGGTATAGACAGTGTAGACAGAAACATTTTTTTTCCCTGCTGGAGGGATCAATAACCACAGGCATAGAATTAAGGTAAGGGGCAGGAGGTTTAGAGGAAATGGGAGGAAAAATGTTTTCATCCAGAAGGTTTTGGGATCCTGGAACTCACTACCTGTAAGGGTAGTATAGCTAAAGCCCTCATAACACTTAAGAAGTATTCAGATGCACACTGAGGTGACAAGGCTTAGGGGTAATCCAGAGACCCGGTTAATGTTCTGTGGACCCAGGTTCAAATCCCACCACAGCAGATGGTGGAATTTGAATTAAATAAACAAAAATAAATCTGGAATTAAGAGGCTAACACTGACATGAATCCATTGCCAATTATTGGAAAAATCCGTCTGGTTCACTAATGTCCTTTAGGTAAGGAAATTGTCATCCTTGCCTGGTCTGACCTACATGTGAGTCCAGACCAACAGCAATGTGGTTGACTCTTGACTGTCCTCTGGGCAATTAGGGATGGACCACAAATGTTGCATAGCAAGTGACACCCTCATCGCTGGAATGAATAGAAAATGGGATTAGAATAGTTAGGTGGTTGTTTGTGATTGGCAACAGGTCCCAACGGCTTTTTCCCATGTTGTAGTTTTCCGTGACTCTATGACTCTGTGAAACTGAGAAACAAAATAGTTTAAACTGAAATTAACCATTCATCAAAACAGATTGAAACCAGTGAAGTATAAAGAAACTTGGGTCTCCTATTTTTAATTTACACCTGAATAATACATTTCACACATCTTTCCTGCGATTGTCCAGCTTGGAAACAATGACACAGACACAGGAAGACATCAATGAGCTATATATTTCAAGCAAATTCTATGGCAGAGTAGAGAAGATTGATTTGTAAAAGCAGAGCTTTCTCTCTCTCTTCTCTTGCTCAGGAAAGTAATAGCAACCACTATCAACAAAAATTGCGGGAATATCTGAACATTGAGAACTCAAAGATATCTGCAATATTCATGGCTGCTGCTGATCTGTACTGATCATTATTGCTTTTTAAATTTCATAATTATATTTGCTTGCATTTGTTTGATATTGTATCTTTATTAATTTTTATCTGGGTTCATAAATAATAAAATTTTGCTCTCTTCCATTCAAGAAAACCTTGTAATTGGTTCTTTAATATCTCTGGTGAACTAGTTAGTCACATTTTAATTGGTGCAAGGTATTACTGCATTCTTAAAAACAGCATTAAATCTTTGTTGCAGCAAACCAAGGAGGATCAAAAGAGTGGAACCAATTCAGCCCCTTCACCTATATATCTTCAGACTTCACACGTCCTAACCTTTGCTGTGAACTTACCATATTGTACCTCAAAGGCCTTTTGAAAATCCAAATATATAATAACTACTACATTACCCTTATCTACACTTTACATTATCTCTTTAAAGAAATATCTGGTTAATTAGTATAAGTATCCTTTTGGAGTTGATGCTAAGTAAATTATCATATTTCCTGTTTCTGGGTATTCTTCCATTACAGCATTTAGAATAGATTCCACTATCCTACCTATCATTGACATTAAGCTGATTGCTCTATAATTCTTAAAGGGAGTTTGAACAAGACTTTTGTAGGAACAGCATTAGCTGCCTGCCAAACCTATGGCACTCCCACAACCTTCTATGGAGTCTTTGTAAATATAAACTAATACTTTTACTTCTTTTTTCCTACTTCCTCTGAATATGTTTGGGAACATGACATATGAATCTTTTTATCATTCTCCAGCTGTCAGTTTATTTTTAACTTTTGATCCCAATCATCTCTTTAAACCTATCTTAAAGTCAGGTTTCTGTTTCATAATCTTCTGTGATGAAAATTTAGCTGACGTAAATATTTAATATTTCTTTAATCCCAATA